ACCCTGTCTGTAATGAACCTGCACTTTGACCTGGCCGCATGTTGAACTCTGTTCTCTTATAAAGCTAATCACTATTGTTTATGCCAAAGTAGGAGAAAAAAAAAACCTCACCCATCTGGTTCCTATGAGTGCAAATCAGAACTTCTTTTCTAGAAAATGGTTGTCAATTTGGATCTAAAGTGTTTTAAAAAATGTACATGCTATTTGACCAAGAAATTTTACTTCTAAAAATTGATCTTAAGTAAAACTTTGGATAACGTTCAAAGTGTACATTGAAGGATGCTTATGAAAGCATTTTTACATTGGTTTACAAAAAACAAAAAATGAGCATTCAGTATTGATTTCAGTTATTGGTTATAAATTATGAACATAAAGTCAGGTATTAAAATTAAGATTTAACATTACAATTTTTTACATGAAAGTTTGTAGACTATATACTGTTGCAAAAAAAGATATTTCATAAGGATATCATAAGACATCTGGAAAACTATTTCTAAAATGAAAGTGGTGGTTGTCTCTAGGTGGGGTGGGGTTAATATATTTTTGACTTCAGCATTTCCTAACTATTTAAGAATGTACATATATTAGTCATTTACAAGAGGGGAATTTTATATTTTTAAGATAGGCACATAATTAGATACATACACTGAAATCACCTGTGTTAAGTTCAGCTGCAGACAAAACACTCAAAATAAATCTGAGCTAGAATTCCTTTTTCTCTGATGAAAAGTTGGATGAGGTGATTCAAGGTTGATATGGTGGTCTACTTTACCATGGATCCAGATTCCTGCCACAGTTTAATTCTACCTTGTACAGTCTCCGTCCCCAAAGTCATTTGATGGTCTATGATAGCTGCTGTTACTTCTATCCCTAACATCCACATTCCACAGAAAAATAGGATGAAAATAAAAGTGTCTGTCTATATCCCATATGTATAACCAGTATGTAGACATATGGTCCAACCGAGTTTCCAAAAGGTCCCAATCCCAGCTACAGGGACCCCTCCCCAGAAGAATGCACTATAGAGGAGATCACTGAACATACAGCTCAGGGAGAGGGGCAGGTTTGCTCAGAGCACCCAAAGCAAACTGAGAGAGAGAGAGAGAGAGAGAGAGAGAGAGAGAGGACCACATCCTGGCCCACCAAGCCCCAAGACAATATTTCTGCTCAGAGAAGCCAATGCACAGAGAGAACCATAGGGTTGGCTCTTTCACTAGACTTGGGGTCCCCTCACTGACCCATAGTGCCACAGAGGACAACACTGGAGACATAGTTCTGGAACTGTACCCAGTATGACCCTCCCCCCACACACACACACACATACGCACACACACACTGGGGTAAAACACAAAGGGAGTGCAACAGAGCAGCAAGGGGAGCAAAGCAATGAAACCCCTGAGGATCCCAAAAACAGACTTGGGGGCAGGGCTTGGCACCTCATCAGACTTGATCTGAAAACATTCATTAAGATCAACAGACAGACCTGGAAGTATTTATAGGTTGGTTTTGTTGTTGTTATTTTTCATGTCTACCTATATAAGATAGGCAGGATCAAAAAATTCCCAAAGAGGAAATAATGGGACTGATAGTTCTGGGGGTACATGGGAGAAGGGGAGGGGAAGAAAAGGAGGGGCTAGCCAACAAGCCCAGGGACAAGGGAACAACGAGTAATCTAAAATTGATGGTGAAGAGGGCATAGAATGCCTGGTAGCATTTGATCAAGTGCAGTGTTGCCTAGAGGAATTACTCAGAGCCGAATGAAGGTCTAACATGATAGTGGGACAAGAGGTAAGTGAAAGAAATTAAAGGAAAGAACTAGGAGGCTAAGGACATTCATAGAGGTATCAATACAGACACATACATATGTAAATATATTTTAAAATAATAGGGACATAGATTTTTGTACATATGTTTATATGTTAAGTATTAAGGTAGCAGATGGACATTGGGCCTCTATTCAAGTAATCCCTCAATGCAAGAACATTTGTTCTAATAACCTGGCATTCTGTGATGCTCACCTTCCCAACACAATCCCTGAAGCAAATGTGAAGAAAACGGAAGGTACCTGGCTATTAAAAGATACAGTGTGTAAGACCTTAAAAGCTTGAAGATCAGCAAGTGGCCATCTAGCTGAGAAGCAACAAAGCCCACATGGAAGAAGCACACCAGTGTGTGTGATCATGAGGCGTTGACAGGTTCAGGTATCAGGCATTAGAAGACCCAAATCAAATAATCATATCGATAAGAACAAGGTGGGGCAGAGTGGAGACCCAAAGCCCATCTGTAGACTATTGGACATCCCCTCACAGAATGATCACGTGGAAGGGATGAGCCAACCAGGGTGCAGTATAGCACCAATGAAACATACAACATTCCTCTAGTTCTTTAATGGCTTCCTCTCCCCTCCCCCTGTCCCCACTATCATGACCCCAGTTCTACCTTATGAATCCGTCTAGGCCGGAGCATGCACACTGGTACAGATGAGAGCTCTCAATACTCCGAATCCAGGACAAATAAACCCTTCAGGAACAATAATGGGAGTAGCAATACTATGAGGGTAGGGGGAAGGTAGGAGGAGAAAATGGTGATGAACAACAGAAACATGGGTGAAAGGAGAAGGTGGACAGTGGAAGATATGAAAGTAATAATAATTTATAATTTATCAAGGGTTCATGAGGGTGGGAGGGTGGGGGAGGAGAAAAAATAAAATGAGCTAACACTAAGGGCTCAAGTAGAGAGAAAATGTTTTCAAAATGATGATAAACCATATGTACACATGTTCTTGACACAATGGACGTATGGATTGCTATAAGAGCTGTAAGAGCCCCCAATAAAATGATTTGTTAAAGGCAAATATGAGTATTTATTCTTAGGGACTAGGTGTCCCCAAGAACATTCTTTTATTTTAGAGAACTGATATATAGGTGGGTGTGGGTGACATACATATGTGTATATGTCAGCCCTGCTACTCACATAAAGATGTGCGCTTCTGAGGCTCCCTCACTTCCAATAGTCCAGTATAACAGCTCCACTGTGATATTAGCCAATCTAAGCATGGTTTCATAATTCAGAGGACTAAAGAGACGTTGAATATTGTGCATTTCCTGCATTACATTACATGCAAAGGAGTGACCTTGACAGAACACGTTTACTGACAATTAAATTGATTCATTTGATTTGGGTCTACTGGAAAAATACAATTTAACAGAGAAAATTAGCCTGCCGCTGATCAAAGCAAATGAATACCCTAGGGATCCTTTGTGTCGTGATAAGAGAGTAGAGCACACCTCAACAGAAGGTTTTTAGCTAGTGACTGGCAGGGTGGATTTCGTCTTTTATCCTTAAAAGGAGGCTCCCGGGATCTTGACAGGAACTTTTAAAAGGCATTTTAGACAGTTTGCATTCCAACCAATATGTGTTCACAGAATGAGCCTATTCATGGAGGATGGACTGTGTTTTATTCTGCCACTTAGAATGCCTATTTGAATTCCTTCTAAGGGGGTTGGCATTCTAATGGATAGCTGAGATAACTAATTTGTAACTGTCATCTTTGGTCAAATAATTTTATATATAATTATGGTATATGTGTATATATGTGTATATGTATATATGGTATACATGTATATACATATACTTATGTATATATACATATATGTATATAACAAACTCACTGCCATCGAGTCGATTTCAACTCATAGGGAGCCTATACTACAGAGTGGAATTGCTCCTGTGGGTCTCTGAGACTGTAACTCTTTCTTTATGGGAGTAGAAAGCCTCTTCTTTCTTCCTATCTACGTGAAAGATGAAACTTATCTCTTTCCACCTCACTCATTTTAGAGAGGCAAGTTCTGTTTCTGCAAATGATATACTATCTATACTAAAGGGTGTTTGAAAATTACAAGGAGAAATCTAAGACAATGAAATGTTCGCATCATCTCTATATAGACACCAACAATTACTTTTTTGAATACAGGGACACACTAACATAATATTAAATAAATAGGATAAAGAATATGTTCATGTTCATGAACCTGTGTCCTCATCTTGGGCAGTGACAAAACAGTGAAAATTTGTAGTTGGTGCCTTTACTTAGACAAATAAGTATCCTTAATTTCATCATTTCCTATTATGACTCCCACCCACACAAATACAAATCCTTAAGGAATTGGAAAGAAAACTTATTAGTAGAATATGTATAAATAGACAAGAAATAGTCTAGCTGGGTGCTATATTGACAGCTGATTAATTTTCTGAGCTAGTGGAATATGCAGTATGGTAATCATTTCGGCATCTAATTTGATGATTTTACATTTTAGCAAGACTGTAGTCTCCTGAATCACTTATGTCTTTTAAGTCAAGAAAAAACTACTTATTCACTTAAATATACATAAAATTTTGGTTGAGCAGATTAATTGTGGAATAGTTAAACTACCTTCAGAGCCTAAAATACCTTCCACAAAAATCTAGGAAGTGTGTGTGCTATCATGAAAGAAATGGTAGCCTCTGTCCCGAAGCCACAGGCACATTTCTGATTTTATTTATTCTGAGAGCATTTTGAGGTTAGCTCACTTAGAATTATCCACCGAATTAAGACAAAAGCTCACCACCTCTAAAAAAGACTCCTTAGACACAGTGCTTTGGAACTTGAATAAACAATAAGCTACATAATAGGAATAAGAGACTTACTTGACAGTCTTGTGGAGGATTATTTGAGCAATTATATGCAAAGCCTAAGAGCATATGTGAGTCCAAAGTGCCTGACACATAGTAAGTGCTCATTAAATGCAAGCCCTGCTAGTTAGTTACTGTTGTTATTATTACTGGTTTAATTTTCAAGTGTAAAACTGAACAAAATTGAAATGACTCGTGTTCTAAAGACAAGTCTGTAGAGAGAGGAATTATTTGATAACATTAAAATGTTCAAAAGCAGGAGCAGTAATGTTTATCGGGTGCTCAATGTTCCACTGTGTCACTGACTCATCTCTCTCTCTGTCTCGAAGATGTTTCATGAAGATGCTGCTGGTGGATGGCAGCTGGTAGCTGTGGATGTCAACAAGCCCCAGGGACGTGCGCCAGCCTGCCTCCAGGTGCAAGTACATGCCATTCTAAACAGTCACTCAACCAAGGGCTTTGCTTTTCTATGAAGAAATCGAGAGACCTCCAAATCACTAGAGGGGTTGGTTTTGCATTGGGCTGCTCACTGCAGTCAGCAGTTCAAACCCACTAGCCTCTTCCCGGGAGAAAGATGAGCCTGTCTGCTCCCAAGAAGGTTTGCAGTCTCAGGGACAGTCCTACTTTGCCCTTTATTGTCACCTCAGCTTGGCTGAACAGGAGCCCTGCTGGGACAGTAGTTTACTCATCTGCTACTACTGAACACCTGAGTTGTTTGAAACCAACAGAGAATGAGGGGAGAAGGAGAAATCTGCTTCTGTAAAGATGTCCTGCCTTGGAAATGCCGTAGGGAAGTTCCGCTCTGCTCAGAAGGTGGTTATGAGTCAGAATCAGATGCTTGGCAATCGAGTTGTGGGTTTTTAAAAATATCTATAAGGTTAAGCAGCGTCTTTTAGTCCATCCCATGACCTAGCACAGTAAGGATTTGGTAAATTTCTCATGAATGAATGCACACAGGCAGTAACATTTCTGCAATATTGAGTAACTGAGGAATCTAAACATTCAACAAAGGGCTGAGTTATTAGAATGCGAGGCACGGTGGTATGTGTATAATTATTTCAGTTTAATATGCCACTTAGTACGCAGCAAGAGAGTCAATGTTGTTAATAGGTAGCAGTTCATTATTCGGTATTTGCAGTCTCAGGACATGGTAATATGTAATTGTTGCTGCTAGGTGCCACCGAGTCAGTCTGATTCACAGAACGCTGTTGGCGAAAGGACAAAACGCTGCCTGAGCTGGCACTATCCTCACAATTGTGCTGTTTGAGCTCTTGGTGCAGCCACGAAGCCAATCCATGCATCTCGTTCTCTGGTCTTCTGTTGTACCAAGCCCGCGTTCCTCTTTCAAGGACTGGTCTCTCCTGATAATGTGTCTACAGTACAAAGACAAGTCTCAGCCTTTTCGCTTCTAAGGAGCAGCCTGGCTGTACTTTTTCCAAGACAGAGTTGTTTGTTCTTCTGGCAGCCCATGGTTTTTCAATATTCTTTGCCAACACCAGAATTTGAAAGGTATTGATTCTTCTATGTTCTTTACTCGTTGTCCAGCTTTCATAAGTATATGAGTTGAAAATTATCATGGCATGGGTCAAGTACACTTTAGTCTTAAATGGTCATTTAACTAACTCACTGCCATCAGGTCAATTGACTCTGAGGCCCATTAGAACAGGGTAGAACTGCCTCTCTGGGTTTCTGAGCCTCTAAAGCTTTATGGGAGAAGAAAGGATTCTCTCTCTCTCTCTCTCCAACAGTTTTATGGGTATAATCAATTTAGGACATTTTCGTCATTCTTTTACTCATTGTTGTTAATCCCCCATTTCTTTCCAAACTCCCCTGCCATGCCCCCAAGAATCTATTAATCCAGTTACTGCCTCTATAGATTTAACTATCCTGAATTTCATATACGAAAAAACATTTAAAAATAACAAAGTAAACAGGAAAAAAACATCAATTGAAAAGAAATCAGAAAATATTTCAAACTAGAACAAATTTAAGTGGATCACAATGGACATGGAATGCTAAGGTGAAACATTTTAACCTAGTTACTTACATCTGCAGCAATCCACTTTCCAATGTATTCTGCATGTTAGCAAGGGCATTCATTCACATCTCTGGCCCATGGTCACAGGGATTCACCAGAGGCTCAATTCAGGTGTATCTCTCCTATGCTTTTTTTATTTTTTTCAACTGAAACAGCTTTTAAAATAAGTCAAAATGGAGATTAAATGATAAGATACTACATTTTGGCCTAACTACATCTGCCAGGGTCTGCTTTTCAATGTTCTCTCACCTATGATCAGAGGGGAGTTGATGGAGGTTTCACCCATGTGTGGACCCTACCAATGGATTTGGGGGCTACCACTGTCATCCATAGCCTTCTGCAAACCAGGTGCTCATAATTTAAGCTCTGATACCATTCCTTCCTTTAGATTTGGATTAAAGTATATTATTTACAATCCTCAGATCACACAAGCTGGTGTGCTTCTTCCACATGGACTTCGTTGATGCTTCAGTGAGATGGATGCTTGTTTGTAAACAAGCCTTTAAGACCCCGATGCTATTATTTTTGATAGTTGGGCATTGTCTAGCTTCTTCCCACACTTTTCTATAGAACTCATATCTTCAGTGATTTCTTAATGAGGTTGAGCATCAAGCAGCGTTATGTCATAAAAGTTAATCGTTCTATTGGGGTTATGTGTTAGACAGGGTTCTAGAGAGAGAGATAAAACCAGATTGCTGATAAGTTTATATATTTATTTATAAAGATAATTAGAAATGAACTGTTAAATTATATACAGATAGATATATAATACAAGAAATGAACAGTTAAATTATAAAGCAGTACAAATGGCTCAGTGCAACTCACTCCCGTGAGAGAGTTGTGAGACACTAGCAGTCCTTCGAGTCTAGTCTGCTGCCAGGCCTTCCTCGATATATAGAGAGAGCTAGGCTATCTCCGCACAGCAGCCAATCACAAGGCAGGTCACCAATTGTCAGCCAGGTCACCAACCACCAGTCCTCAGCTCCAGAGATGTCTTAAAGGGACCTCAATTTACAGCGACATATTTCACAGGCTAGGCGTCCTACAGTTGTGTAGCCTGTAAATTGAGGCACAGAACAAGCAAGGCAGCCACACACTGGTCCGATGATAACAGAGCGAGAGACAAGAAAGGCAAAGCTCACCAAGCCATTTATCTCTCTGCTCTTCAGTTAATCCCACTTGTGTTTATCGGCCAGGCTGGCACAATAAACTATCTCAGGTTAGATTTAAGTTCAAGCCCCGAATCCATTCATGCATCTATGGTTTATATATGTCTCTAGTTCACTTTAGAGATACCATTATCATTTTATGTTAAAGAACATTATCAATCACCCTCACAGGGGCATCATTTCCATTGCCATCAAGTCAATGCTGATGTACAGCAACACTGTAGGACAGGGCAGAACTTCTCCCAGGAGTCTCTGAGCCTACAATCTTCACAGGAGAAGAAAGCCTCATCCTTCCCCTGCGGAGCTTTCTGGTGGTTTCGAATTGCTGATTTTGCTGTTAGCAGCTCATCACATAACCCATTTAGCCATGGGGGTATCTTTAAGGTAGTATAGAAATTGATAATAAGCAGAAATAGACTGTAGCAGACACAAAGGGGGAAAGACTTCCATGGGGAGCCGGAGAGACTTCAGAGTATTCTCACATGATTTGAGGAGAGGGCAACAAACTCAGTCTGTGAACTTCTAGAATATATTGTTTACTATAAGCTCCTCATCAACCAGTAAAAATAAGCTCACTGCCATGGAGTGGAAGCCAACTCAGCGAGCCAGCAGGACAGGGTCAACTACCTATGTGGATTGCTGAGACAGGGCTTCTTTCCTGGAATAGAAAGTCCTGTTTTTCTCCTGCAAAGCAGCTGGTGTTTTCAAAGTGTCCACCTTAAGTTAGCAGCCCTGCTACCAATCTCGGCACCACCAGAACTCTCTGGAGCTCCTCACAAGGCCTATAAATATCTGCATCTCTTTTTCAGTGAATAACACTGGGGTCTTCTTGTACTCCCTCATCCTCAAAGCCCCTACCCTAAATGTTGGCCATTTCAGGGTCACAGTATCAGCATCCCTAACACACCATCACAATCTCACCAATCCATTCCCTCTCCTCATTAAGGATGAGCAATCAACCCCCCACCCCCACCCCCGACTCACAGAAACAGCAGATTCTTCCTCCTTGAGAAGGTATTTTCTTCACTCTGTTTTGATTTCACTTACAAATCCTCTTCTCAGAAGGTGCCCTGTGGTTTGAGAAGGGTTTTGCTTTAGTTTTGAGCATGAGCATACCTACATTTTACTTTTTTTTAGTAGGATGGGGCACATTGTACTTTTCAAAAACTGGTACATGGGGAACAAAAGCATTTTACACTGAACTATAACTGTGACTAATTATATGGCCATGTTATCATGTATTTATTTCTTAAAAGTGTGTGGAGGTAGCAGTTTGCAATGAATATTTGTGATATTGAATATTATCTTCTGGTTTTCTCTCTGTCCTATGTATGATGATAAAACTGCTGTTAATAATACAAATGCTTCTACAACTGCTATTACTACCCTAACAATAGCAACTAATGTAGTAGCAGCTGCTTGTCAAGAAAACGCTTGACTTATATTAGCCTGAGAGTGCTGAAAACGTCCTGCCCACATAGATCTGACAGTGAACTCTGTGGCGGAAAGCAAGAGGACAGCACTGGACTCACGAGAGTTGTGGGAGTTTTCAAACAATGACTGCAGGATACCATGAAGCAATTAATTAGGAGTTCACACTGCTAGTCTGAGAAGTAAGGCAAGGCTCTCATGAGAGAGGGACACTAAAATTGAGACCAACAGAGTGAAGAAAGAGTCACTCAGGGGGACACATCATAATTCTGTGAAGTACAAAGATGGTGTCGTTCAGCCATCTACAGATGAGGAAGCTGCAGTTTAGAGGACTTGGGTGATTTTCCTGAAGTTACGCATCAGAGAACGTCAGCCTTGTCACTGAGTCTTCCGCCTACTCAGCTTGTGAGGGGAGGGCCAGCCCCCCACAACTAATCGCGGGTTCTATGGGTGCAATTGTATGGTTGATATAATATATATATAATGACTATATATGGTTGATATATATAATGATATATATAATGACTTTATTATAATGTATATTATAATAAAGTCATTGAGAGCATGAGAGATAAAAGAGAGATTGAAATAAGATAGAAGAGATTGAAATAATGGAGTCAGACACATTTCATGGTAGCATGCCCTCCTCAGCCCCACTTGGTGGTCCACATGGAGAGAGGGGGAGGCGAAGGAGGACTGGAGAAGAGAGGGAAAACCGATGAGAGGCCAAGAGATCTTTATTGCTAACCCAGGCCTATATACCTTTGGGGGGAGTGCA